CCAAAGGTTCTAGTAGGATGTGTTTTCATTCTTGTTTGATTCTGTGAATTTCTTTATTCCATCCTTAATTTCTTCTGTAACCCAGTAGTTTTTGAGCAAGGTGTTGTTCAGTTTCCATGTGTCTGATTTTTTTTCCTTGCTTTTTCTGTTGTTGATTTCTACTTTTATGGCTTTATGGGCAGAAAAGATGCTTTGTAAAATTTCGATGCTTTGAATTTTGTTAAGGCTTGCTTTATGGCCTAATATGTGGTCTACTCTGGAGAATGTTCCATGTGCGTTGGCAAAGAAAGTATACTTGGCTGCTGTTGGGTGGGGTGTTCGGTTATGTCTATGAGATTGAGTTGGTTGACTGTAGCATTTAGCTCTTCCGTGTCTTTGCTGAGCTTCCCTCTGGATGTTCTATCCTTCACCAAAAGTGGTGTGCTGAAGTCTCCTACTACTATTGTGGAGCTGTCTCTCTTTTCAATGCCCTTAGTATGTTTTATGTATTTTGGAGCCCTGTTGTTGGTACGTAAACATTTATTATAGTTATGTCCTCCTGGTGTACTGACCCTTTAATCATTATATACTGTCCTTCCTTATCCTTTGTGGTGGATTTTACTTTAAAGTCTATTTTGTCAGAGATTAATAATGCCACTCCTGCTCCTTTTTGAGTGTTGTTTGCTTGACAGATTTTTTTCCCATCTTTTGAGTTTTAGTTTGTGTGTCTCTTGTAAGTAGCTTACAGACGGATCATGGTTTCTTATCCAATCTGCCACTGTCTCTTTATTGGTACATTCAGTCCATTTACATTCAGTGTAATTATTGATAGGTATGAGTTTAGTGCTGTCATTTTGATGTCTTTTTTTGTGTGTTGTTCAGTTTCTTTGTTCCACTTAAGTTTCTGTGCTGAGTCGTTTTTATGTATTTTCTTTTCAACTTTTTCATTGTTGTTGATTTTGTGTTTGCTGAGTCTTTGTATTTTTCTAGTTTTTTATTTTGACTTGCAGGATTGTTAGTTTCCTTTGTGGTTACCTTAATATTTACCCCTATTTTTCTAAGTTTATACCAGTGTTTTATGTCTTTATATCGCCTTGACTTCCTCTCCATATGCAAAATCTATGTCTACATTTTTTAAGTCCCTCTTCTTTGTTTTAATGTTGTCATCTTCTACATACTGACATTTGTTTCCCTGTTTTCAGTGTTTTAGCTTTATTTTTGTCACTTCCCTATCTGGGTTGATATCTGGTTGCTCTGTCCTGTATTCTAGTCTTGGGTTGTTATCTGATGTTACTGATTTTCTAACCAGAGGACTCCCTTTAGTAGTCCTTGTAATTTTGGTTTGGTTTTTGCAAATTCCCTAAGGTTGTTTATCCAGAAATGCCCTAATTTCGCCATCAAATTTGAGAGACAGTTTTGCTGGATATGTAAGTCTTGGCTGGCAGTTTTTTTCTTTCAAGGCTTTATATATGTCATCCCATTGCCTTCTTGCCTGCATGGTTTCTGCTGAGTAGACTGAGCTTATTCTTATTGACTATCCTTTGTAGACGACTTTTCGTTTATCCCTAGCTGCTCTTAAAATTCTCTATCTTTGGTTTTGGCAAGTTTGATTATAATATGTCTTGGTGACTTTCTTCTGGGATCTACCTTATGTGGGATTCGATGAGCATCTTGGATACATATCTTGTCATCCTTCACAATATCAGGGAAGTTTTCTGCCAACAAATCTTCCACAATTCTCTTGGTATTTTCTGTTATCCACCCCCCACCTCAACCCCGTTCTGGTACTCCAATCACTCGTAGGATATTCCTCTTGATACAGTCCCATATGATTCTTAGGGTTTCTTCATTTTTTAAAATTCTTTTATCTGATTTTTCCTCAAATAAGTTGGTGTCAAGTGCTTTATCTTCAGTCTCACTAATTCTGACTTCCATTGCCTTAATTCTGCTCCTATGACTTTGTACTGAGTTGTCTAATTGTGAAATTTTACTGTTAATCTTCTGGATTTCTGATTGCTGTCTCTCTATGGATTCTTGCAGCCTGTTAAATTCGTCATCATGCTCTTCTCTAATCTTTTTAATTTTCTCTATTGCCTGTTCTGCGTTTTGCTTAATTTCCTTCCTAATTTCTTGAAGAGTTCTGTATATTAATCTTTGGTATTCTGCCTCTGGTAATTCCAAGAAATTTTCCTCCTCTGGAAAATTTCTAGATTCTTTATTTTGGGAGCTTGCTGAAGCCATCACAGATTGCCTCTTTATGTGATCTGATATTGACTGTTGTCTCCAAGCCATCAATAAGTTATTATATCTATTTAATAATTTTATGTTTGCTTACTGTGTCCTAGCTTCTTGTTTTGTTTTGATATGCCCAAATAGGCTGCTTTAGGAGCTACTTTGGTTATTGGCACCTTTGGAGAACACATATTCCATATCTGGGAATACTGCTGGCTCTCAACCATAAAACCACAAGGAAGGAAACTGCCTTTGAATGGGGGCCAGAGGAACAGGACACTATGTCTGAATTACAGAAAGCAGGTCTCACTCTCCCTGCTTTTAGGCCCTTATGATCCACATTCAACCATGATTTTGGAGGTGTCTGTCACACGTGCTTATACAGAGTGGAGCTTATGCGAAAAACCTGAGAGCACTGCCCTACGGTGACTGTTGGGATTCTGGACTAGATAGTTTCCAGATGCTGCAACAAAATACATGCCATTTGAAAGGCAATTACGTGCCTGCTATTGGGCGTAGACTGAGACTGCCTCAATGAAAAAAGGACATAAAATCATCATGAGACCTGAAATACCAATAATGTCTTGGGTGAAGTCAAAGAAACACTCTAATAAGGAAGGTGGTGCCCAAAATAGTTTCATAATAAAATGGAAATGGTTCATACAAGAACAAGCTACTTGGGTAATGCAGGGAGGCACCCAATGTATGCACAAGCAGGTAGCCTCTTTTTCCATAGGTCCTACCCTGGAACCACCTGAGAAGCTGCCAGAGACCATTGCTAAATGTACAGTGCCCTAAGAACAACTTTCTGCAGACCAGCAGAAGGGGCTTGGTTCATGGATGACACTTCAAGGCACGTGGACAACATCTGATGTCAAAAGCTGCTGCATTAAGACCAGCACATGGAAAGACCCTGATTGAAGAAGGTAAGAACAGGTCAGCTCAATGGGCTAAACTGCATGCTGTCTTCCTAGCCATGATGGAAGAATTAGGCAATGGTGAAAGCCTGTATGTTTGGATTTTTACCGACTCATGGGCAGTAGCCAATGGTCTGGCTATATGGTCCGGCAAATGGGAGGTGGCAGATTGGACTATTAAGGCAACACCTGTGTGGAGCACAGATCTATGCAAAGCACTCTGGGACTTTAGAGGGTGCATTAGAGTAGGACACATCGGCGCCCACCAGAAGAACCTGCTTCCTGGATTGAAGGGCGATTAGAATCAGCAAGTGGACCTGTAGGTATGCTCACTTGACATGGTCAATTGGGTCTATAAAATGAGTGGACCTGGGGGTGCTTCAGCAATGCAGAGATGGGCTCAATCTAGACACATCCCTCCTGCAACCCCTGAGGCACAAAATGCCAATAAGGACTGCTCTGTCTGCCAGCAAGAAAGAGGTTGCAGATGGCTATGGGACAGATTCCCCAGAGGGTAGAGCCCTGCCCATAGCTGGCAAGTTGATTATATTGAACCAATGATGCCGGTGCCACCAGATGCCTACCAACAGGTCCTCACAGGAATAGATACTTACTCCAGACTGGGCTTTGCATATCCCGTGACGGATGCAAATGCCAAAAACACCATTAAGGGATTGGAACAAAGACACTGTACTAATTTAGGCCACCGAGTTATATTTCATCAGACCAAGGAATACACTTTACAGCCCACAGGTGCACCAATGGGCCAAGAAACATCATATTAAATGGACATACCATGCTGAACACCACCCTCAGAGTAATGGTTTGATAACAGAATTGGAATGGGTAATTGAAACATTTGTTATCTAAAACGGGAATATAAGGCATCAAGGGCTGGCTCACAAACCTTCATGAATGTGTGCTCACACTCAACATGAGAGGGGCAAAGGGAGGATCACCACTGGACAGATTCTTACGGTTCTCTGGGGGATCTGGGAAAGATGGAGTAAGGGAGGACGCTGGTGCCACTATATAGTTCTTCCCCCACGTCACCTAAAATTGCTTTTTTCCTGCCAGATGCTGCAATCCTAGGACCAGTCAATGACTAGGATAAGATGAAGTGTGACAGAAAACTTGGAGATAATACTGATAATTGTGAAAGGTCGGGCAGAAACCAATGGACTGACAAAAACTTTAAAATTAGTTGATTTCATATATTTGCTGCAAAATTGATTCAAGATTAGACTATTTATAAAGTTTTAGAATTAGAAAATTTCTACTATGAAAGAAACTCTTAAAACTCTGGACAGAAACAGATGCCTTTTGTGCCTCTTACGTCCTGTTCCTAGTGGTGATGCTCCAGAGGCAGTTGCAGTCTTTGCAAGCTCATTAGAGACCATTCTTCTTACCTAGATGAATCTCATTAACTATTCTAAACCAAGTAAGAGGGGGACAAATGAAAGTACCTTAGCAAAATCAACTGTTGTTAATTACTACTGAATACATTTCTTTATAGATACGTGTCTTTACATGCTTCTATACACAATAAAAACTTACTAATAGTTTAGTTTTTCAGAATAAGTTAACGTTCAGCATACATGTTGCTTTGTTGGTTACCTACCGAAGATCAAGACCTTGATTTTGCCAGATATTTTCCATAATGCGTATAATTTGAAGTGTTAACATATCTTGCCGCAAATCTGAAATTCAAATAATATGTATCATAACTCAACGCCACAAATGGAAATTTAGGTATGATGTCATCACAATGTTTTCAAACAAAAAACAGAGCTATATTTACTCTTCAAAATAATCTATAAGAAAGCAATATTCTGATTCTTTAACCCATTTCTAAAGTATCTGCACAAGAACATCTGCGTAACAATGTTAGATAAAGCTAGCACGTATTTCACAAAAATTCTTAATTAAACATTTCAAGTACTTATTTTTCTAAATCCTTAAATTTGAATACAGATATTTGTATCAAAATACTGGAATCAACAGAATTCACTGCTGAAATGTTATTTTTCTACGGTCACTATCCATGATCCTTTCCTTCCACAGCCTTTTTCTCCTAGTTAAGATTTTCTTTTATATGGGTCCTTAGCAGACTATGGAGCTCTGGTGGCGCAGTGGTTAAGAGCTCAGCTGCTAACCAAAAGGACAGCAGTTCGAATCCACCAGCCACTCCTTGGAAACCCTACGAGGCAGTTCTACTCTGCCCTATAAGGTCACTAGGAATCAGAAACGACTCGACGGCAACGGCTTTGGTTCTTGGGGTTTTTGTTTTGTTTTGTTTTTAAGCAGACTATGTATTTTCCTTGTACCATGGTGTAATTTTAATTTTGTAACTTTCTGTTTAATGTACCTCTTTCCCATATTAGACTGTAAGCTCCAAGAGGGCAGGGATTCTGTTTGGTTTATAGCTACAACCCCAGGCCCTACCACATAGAATATTTACGGAATGAATGTTCACACAGTTAAGCAAATGACAGTCAGACACTGATTTTAGGCCTTCTAAATTCTATGCCTAGTACTTCTTTTTAATAATTACACATGCATATTGTACAGGTTAAGACATTTGCTTAATGTTATATGTTCTGTCACATGTATATTCCTTAAATGGCTTTCAATAGTCTTCAAGGTTCATAAATAGCCTGTGTATAAAAAGGCAGCTAAATTCGTGCATCATAAGTTCATTAATACTCTTCCTTACCATCCCCATTTTTAAAGATGATCTCATTGTTCTGAAACAGTAACTCTGACATGATGTCTGGGTTCTCCCAATTCAACCACAGTGGCCTTTTTGCAGAGGACATAATTCGACACTCTTCAAGCCTTTAAAATAGTTAAAAACTTTACTTAAAATAGTTAAAAACGTTACTAGGCATCTTAGCTTTGTTATTTTTTTTCCATTGAATTTATTTTAAAATAATACACAGTATAGATTTTTGAAGTGATACAAAAACTTAAAACATTCTCAATTTATATTTATGAATTCATTTCTAAGTGAGTATAGAGCAAACATAAATGGTAAGCTTTTAAATAATATAAGGGCATATGAATTTTCAACAAATATTGGGACATATTAGTTTTATACCTAATACATTCCGTTTCTTATCCTACAATACCAGAAATTCTGGCTATAAAAAGTTTTAAACTCCATTATTAGAATAGTAAAAACTCAGTTGGAATAAAAGCAGTTCTGAACTTAAGACAATTTTTCTAGTCTTATTTTGTAGAGCAGGAGAATGGGAGAAGGAAGCGTATAGAACCGAACATTCTAATTATAATGGACATTTTGACTTTTTCTAGAGATTTTATACAGAAGGGGTGTTTATTTAAATACTTCGATAAAACTTCCAATACAGTACCTTACCTGAGATTTCCTAGTTGGTGAGCAGGGTTTAGAGGAGACAGAAAGCCCTGTAGAGCATCCATGAAATCTGGTCGTCTCATTTGCTCAACTAAAAACTTCATCTGTACCTGATAAAGAGACAGAATCAAGGTTAGAAATTGATTTCATAAAAGGTAAAACTACTTGCTAATCTCATTTATATCCCAGCGCCTCAGTACTGTGGAGTCTTTAAGTGCATATCCTGGATTGGCTGCATTAATTAGGTGCTATAATCGAGAGCAGCTTAACTCAGGAAGAGAAGCAACAGTGGCAGCACTATACACCTTCCAGTGAGAAGCTGACAGAAGTGAAGTTTTGGCTCTACACCAGGGGTAGGTCAACTATGGCCTGCAAGTCAGCCACCAGGTTTTGTAAATTAAGTGGTATTGGAACACAGCCATGCTCATTCATTTATGTATTGATTTTTGTGCTGTAATAGCAGAGCTGAGCAGTTGACAGAGACCACATAGCCTGCAAAGTCTGAAATATTTACTAGCTGGCCCTTAAGAAAACATTTGCTGACCCTTCTTGCTCTAGAGGAAAGACTAAGGAGGCATCACCTTAGCTTAGTTTAGTAACTTTACTTTCTGGTGTTTCAGAAAACATCACATCTCTCTCTGTTGGATATAGAAAAGGCCTAGTAAGGCTAAAAAAAAAAAAAATTGCTGCAAAGGACTTGTCAAGAAACCTTTGTTACACTGAATCTCATACTATGCTCAGGTTCTAGTAAGTAGCTGCAAAGAAACATCCCTTTTTATCAGTTCAAACAGAGTCTAGACTGCTGAGCTATTATGCAATAACTGGCATTCTAAGAAATCTCTACCCGTTGAAAATATAAAATGGGGGGGAGGGGGAAAGGTTAAGAGCTATGGATTTGTAATAAATTAGTTTTTATGTTGTAATTTTAGTAATAATTTTTTTCTTAGTATATATAAGTAAATAGCTAGAAAATCTAGTCGTCCTTGACTAGGCAGCTTTTGCTTATGTACAGGCATTTCTTTTTCTGTAACTGTCAACCCTAATGTTAGCACAGTGCTTCCTATACTTTATCACTCGTTGTTATGATAAAACACAAAACTACTCAGAGTAACTGCTTTTGTTGCTATTCCTGCAATTTTAGTTCCCTACCACAATCTCATTTAAACTAGTGGTAATCTGAGTAATCAATTTCATGTTCCTAATTAATCTATTTTGTCAAAGCCAATTTGATAACTCCAGCTATAGGACATGCCTATATTTACAAATTGGTAAATATTTACAATTGCTTCTTTTTTCTTAGCTCAGTTACAATGTAACAAAATTTATCCTTTCAAGGCAGTCTATTCCCCTAGTGCCCATTAATTCCAGAACTAGATACAGTATGATTATTTTCTAATTGTTGTTAGCTGCTGTTGAGTGGGCTCTGACTCATGGTGACCTTAGGAATAACTGAACGAAATGTTGCCTGGTCCTGTGCCACCTTCATGATTGTTGGTATGTCTGAGTTAACTGTTGTGGTTACTGTATAATCTGTTATAATCCCTAAGGTTTTCATTGGCTGATTTTTGGAAGTAGATCACCAAGCCCTATTCCTAGTCTGTCTTAGTCTGGAATCTCTGCTGAAGCTTGTGCACCATGGGTGATCCTGCTGGTATTTGAAATACCAGTGGCATAGCTTCCAGCATCATAGCAACATGGAAGCCACCATACACCAACTGACCGATGGGTGGCAGATTTTCTAATAATCCATATTTGAACTTAAATACAACTGCAATGAACTCATACATACTGTATGCCATTTAGATTAATACAATAACTTTCTTTTAAAGTTTTTTTCTTTTCAAGCAGTATTAATGAAAATGGTAGAAAAACTCATTCAGTACTGCTAATTTTCTCACCTTTGGGGGCTCACTAATAAAAGTGGGCATTCCCCCCCCCGCCACATTTCACTAGAGATGAAGAAAAACATTAATTAGGGAGGCTGGACAAATTACACTGCTCATATTGATAATGCCTACCTCATATATTCTGGGCAACTGAAACCTCATTTTTAGCTGAAGAACACTGTGGATGGATCGAATGAAGGATACAACCAAAAACCAAATCCACTGCCATCAAATTGACTCTGACTCATAGCGACCCTATAGGACAGAGTAGAACTGCCCCATAGGGTTTCCAAGGCTGAAATCTCTATGGAAGCAGACTGCCACATCTTTCTCCCACAGAGCGGCTGGTGGGTTTGAACCACCGACCTTTTGGTTAGCAGCCGAGTGCTTTAACCACTGCGCCACCAGGGCTCCTTGAATGAAGGATCCAAAACCAAAACCAAACCCACTGCCGTCAAGTCGATTCTGACTCATAGCAACTATAGGGTTTCCAAGGAGCAGCTGGTGGATTCAAACTGCCGACCTTTTTGGTTAGCAGCCAAGCTCTTAACCACTGTGCCACCAGAGCCCCTGAATGAAGGATAGAAGTAGGAAAAGGTCATGAAAAACCATTTACATTTTATTTCATACTCCTCAGTTGTACTAAGCTTGTAGGTCTTAGCTAGACTGCAGATGACTAGAGAGTGTAATATACTCACTATAAATGACTATGAGTCCATTTTAAACTTAGAAATGAAAAACTAACTTCTTTTCACTAATTTTATTACTAAAAGGTAATAAACTACATAGGACAAGGAAAGAATCATTTAAAAAATGAATGGCTATATAAGAGAGGAAAACAGGGTAAGAAGAGGAAATTAACATTTTTGGGGCACATCCAGTGTTCCAGGGACTGAGATAGGTGCTTCACATATCTCATGTAATTTAATTCTCAGAACAACCCTATAAAGAAAGTATTATTCCCATTTTACAGATGAGAAAAATGAATCACAAAAGCCTAAATAATATGACTAACATTACATAGCTAAGAGTCAATGAAACTCGGATCAGAATCCTAATCTGCTTGATTCCAAGGACCATAATCAATGGATACACTGAGCTCCCAAACAACCCTGCCCCATGGCAATGAAAAGTCTCAAAAGCAAACTAACAAGTGACATACCTTTTGTGTTTCATCTTTCTTCTCCTGTTTGAGAATGTCAGTTAAATTAATGAGTTTTTCCATAGCCTCGACTTGTCTATTCAGGTGCTTCAAATACATCCCACAAGCACGACAATAGGACTCCAAAAGCAGGCCAAACCTCTGACTTACTGTTTTATTGTGCATCTCAGATCTAAAACAACAGTACAAGATTTAAAAAAAATATATATATATAATGTTGTTGTTGATTATCATGGAGTTAATCCTGACTCACAGTGACCCATGTGACAGAGTAGAACTGCTCCACAGGATTTCCTTGGCTGTTAATCTTCATGGAAGCAGACTGCTAGGTCTTTCTGCCGCAGAGTGGCTGATGGGTTTGAACCGTCAACCTTCTGGTTAGCAGCTGAGCACTTAACTGTTGCGCCACCAGGGCTCTCTCCCTCTCCTATAACTGGTCTTAAATGAATATACAAATAATGTTTTTAAAAAGAAAATAGAAAACCTTATCTTCTAAATCCAATTAATATTACAATCATACTAACAATAAAAAAATTCAAAATTTAACCTTTAGAAGCAAAACAAGAATTTCAGATAGTTCCTAGAAATACAAACTTAACAAATTATTTTTTAGGTTTATTTCAACTCCTTTTCATTCACTAATCTCAGCCCAAGATACATAAACATGAAAAAAGAAAACTAGGCACAAAAACTATAATAAAATGGATAGAAAGGGGGCAAAGAGTTCAGTGAGTACTATTTGACTCTTCTACCATACACGTCCCTTTTCTGTACTGTCTCTAAATTTAAGGTATTTTTTTTTTTTTATTGTACTTCAGGTGAAGGCTTACAGAACAAATAGTTTCTCATGAAACAGAAGTACACGTGTTGTTTTATGACATTGGTTAACAACCCCACAACATATCAACCCTCTAACTTCTCAACCTTTTTTTTTTTTGGTGAAAATACACATAGCCAAAGATACACCATTTCAAAAATTTATACATGCACAGTTCAGTGATACTGACTACGCTCTTCGAATTGTGCTGTTATTCTCACTTAAGATGAAGACTTACAGAACAAAACAGTTTCTCATTTAACAGTTACTACAAATGTTGCCCTATGACAATGGTTAACAAATCTCACAACACATCAACAATATCCTTACTCAACCTTGGGTTCCCTATCACCAGCTTCCTTGTCCCCTTCTGCTTTCTGGCCCTTGTCAATGGACTCCTGTAGCTCGTTAGTCTCATTTGGTTTTACGGGGCTATCCCCTCCCAGGCTGAACAATGAACCTCGGAGGTAACTTCACCACTGAAATTTAAGGTATTTTAAACCTGGCTTCTAGGTTCTATTTTTGATTTAACACTTTTAAACTCATATTAGATATAAATATGACCTCTAACTTTAAGTATTAGATATATCACAGTCTGCAAAGTATTTTTTATTCTTAAGTAGCTTTTTTTCTAGTAAGAGCCTTAGAATTTTGTTATTATTGTTCTGAATTCCAAGGTATGATTTTTTTTCTTTATTTTGGGATATTTTAATCCATATATATAGTGAAACCTACTGCAACATTAATCTGGACATAGCAAATTTTACTTTGCTTAAAATAGCATCAAAAAATCCCTAAAATTATTTTCACTCTCATTCATGTACAAAATTCAATTTTGAATTTTACTAGCTTCCTTAACTCCAAAGAGAAAAAAGTTGAGGTGAAGCTTATAGTATGCCATATATCTGGAAAACACTTCCAGATAAACAAAAACCAAAAGTACATAAGTAATGTATATCTACATATACATTACATATATTGTATCATAATTTATTATACTGAATATAAATATATTTATATATACATTAAGAAGGCAAGTAATATACAATTACAGAATTTAATGGGAAAATAATTTAACTTACTTTAAATGCCAAAAGAAAAAGTGCCCAATCCTTTGATTAGTCAAAGCTTTCTTAAGTAAAAATCTCACAAGCTGGTTATCCAAATATTGTTCATATTTTAGGACCTACGTGATTAAAAAAAGAAAACAAAACAAAGAACTCCACATGAATCAGGAGCAGTGTCTGCATAACTGGAGTTAAAGAACACGTTTCAGAAAGAAAGTAGATACTACTAGAAATAAAACGGATTTTCTTAAAAAAGCATAAAACCAGTTAATGCAGTGGGTTTTGGGAACAGCATGGGTTTAGAATAAAACGTTATTTACTAGTTTACATTATTTTACCTGTACTAGCTGAATTAGGTACTGAGAAAGCTTGTCATCTGTTAAATATTTTTCCAAGCATCGAACAGCAAATCCTCGAACCATAGGATCTGGATAATTACAGTCTAGAAGTTCCATGGCTTGTTCAGGTTTGATTGGAGGCCAGTCTTTCACCAAGCAGTACATCTGCATGTGAGAAAGACAATAAACCATATTTAAAAAGCAACGATAGTTGCAAATGAATCCTATAAAAAAATGTCCTAACTTATTTTACTAGTAGTTTAGATAAACTTATAAATACAGTGCTTAAAATTTTCAGTTCTAAATAATTTTATCTGTGGAAGCAGTGTGAATGGTATTTCTCTCTACTATATTACCATTATTAATTAATTTAAAACAGTCTATTTTATCTCTTACGTTTATGAAGACTTTCTGAGAGAAAATATTTTCAGTAACATCAATTTTGTGCAATAGTTACTCAGTAATATCAAGCATACGTTTACCTGGGCTACTTCATCTCTAGAATTCCACTTAACAGACAGGAGCAATTTGGGCAGAATTTCAGGGATAGTTACACAATAGTGTCTGTATGGGAAAGATAAAACAAAAAACATTCTTGCATGTTATTCAAAAGGCCTAAGTGTCTAACTTTTCAATTACACAACATTTAAGAAGTTTCAAACACTTTTAAAACCATTCTTACCATTACTAGCCTTCTTAAACTATCAAAAGAAATCAGTGTTTAACACGATAGTTGTGTAGATATATACATATGTACTTAGACACAGTTATGATAGCAAGGAAGACAAAGGGAAAATCCAAATAGAGAACAAGAACTTAGGAAAAATTTAGTTGACAGTTCATAAAAATTATGAATATATTTTATAGCACTCTTTATATGGCTCATACTATTTACCTACTTAAGCAACATGAACCCTAAGAAGTGTCACCAGTTCTACTGTGGCCACTGGACAAAAATTTGTTTTTAATGTACTTTCTGCAGAAATGTAATACACTTGCTTTTTTAAGATATACCACTGGATACTTACCAAGTAGCAAGTTAATTTCCTCATAAATGAAAATAAATTATGACACTATTACTTTAAAGAAGTGTGAGAAAAAAAGAAAAACAAAAAGGAACTCCTAAAAATTGTAATACTGTAATATACAGACCAACTAAACCACAACTAAACTGACCCAAACTTCGGCTATTTTTTTGGCTACTGAATTTTATTTTTTAAAAAAGTTCTATCAGGGATTTAGAATTTAAAAAAAAAAAAAAAAAAGTGCCTTCAGTATACAAAGTAAGTATCAAGGCAGTATGATTTACTAGAAACATCAATCTATATCCATAGTTTTAAAAAAGAATAATGTTTATAATAAAAAAAACCCAAACACATAAACTATGCTTTATTTACTCAAATAAGTATGGTAGAAACATAGAAGGATCAGCCACAGTCAGTTCTTTCTTGTGCAAAAGAAGAAAGGAACAGAGAATCTCCATCTTACACTTACCTGTGGCTCCATAGAAAATCTTTTTCTTGCTCAGTGATTTCAGACAGAGGATCTCGTGTACAAATTGCTCGGAGCTGTTCTTTGTCATTTTCTCTTAATTCATTGTCTCTAGCTAGTCTGTTACTCTGTAAAATAAAGTAATATCTTATATAGTTTTTTTTTTCCATATTCCCCCTCCCATTCATGAGTGATCTACAAAAAAAGCAAATTAATTTTAATAAAATTTACGTTGCATATTAATTGTAAAATAACTTCTTCTCATTGCAGAACTTTATGTTCAGGGATAGGAAAGAATCAATCTAAGATAGTATTTGTGGTACAAATCCAGTAACTTTGGTCTTGGTTAACCTCATCACCAACCAGTCAGAACTGTAACTTCCCAGGTTAGTCAGGGAGAAGACGAGATGGAGACACTAGAGGTTAGTAGTGAGCAACTTCTCTTCCTGATGAAGCCCCTTCCTATTATCCAATTAACTAATTTGCTGTTATGCTAGAATAAGAAACAGTAAAATTATAAAATAAAAAAGTAAACCTTTTCATGTTCCTTAAACACATTCTTATAATTACTGTAAGGCTTTCAAATTTAAAAAGTAAAAATAAATAAGGGAAAAAAACACCCCTTTAAAACACTGTATACATACATATACATACTCATTGCCGTAGAGTTGATTCTGACTCATAGCAACCCTACAGGACAGAGTAGGGCTGCCCTATAGGGTTTCCAAGGAGCAGCGGGTGGATTCAAACTGCCGACCTTTTGGTTAGCAGGTGAGCTCTTAACCATTGCTCCACCAGGGCTCCAAAACATTGTATAGTGAATATTAAAAAAATAATTTTTATTCTAAGTAATGTATTTATTCACTTATAGATATATTAACTGTATAATGAATAATTATGAATGCATATTAATATATTATACAAAACAAATACCTTTAGAATGGGTTACACACATTTCTAAAGACTAAAAATGAAATCAAGAAGCCCTGGTGGAGCAATGGTTAAGTGCTCAGCTGTTAATCGAAAAGGTTGGTGCTTCAAACCCACCCAGTGGCTCTGTGGGTGAAAGACCTGGATATCTGCTTCTGTAAAGATTACAGTCTAGGAAACCCTATGGGGCAGTTCTATCCTGTCACATGAGGTTGCTATGAGTTGGAATCAACTTGACGGCACCCAACAACAACAAAAATGAAATCAAACTGCCATATATGCTACTTGGTTTTATACATTGTCAGTTTATCCAACAGTATGAAGAAATATTACTGGCACATATTCATTCACCAAGTATTTATTAAACATGCACTGTGTGCTTATCCTGTTCTTGCTGTTGCGTCACAAAATAGTAAAAGACCTGGTACTAAAAGAACCTCTGATCTAGCAGGAAAGCAAATAAACAAATATGAAAATATCAGAGAGCTGATATGAGTACTCTGGATGATGCGACAAAGAATGAGTAAATGGCTACTTTAGATTGGGTGTTTGGAAATGGCCTCCGAGAAGGTAACATTTAATTTGCCATCCAAATAACAGGAAGGAATTATCTACACTAAGATTGGAGGAAAAGACTATTGTAGACGGAGGAAACAGTTCAAGGGCTCCAAGAAGAGGATGAGTTTGGTATGAAAGAAGAACAGGAAGGACAGTGAGACTGAAGCCCAGTAGACAAGGGAGAGAAGTGACAGGAAATTGTGTTCAGAGCATGTGAAATTTGCAGGTCAGTTAAAATTTTTTATTTTTAATGACAGCTATTTAAAAGATGAATACCATGATCTGATTTATACTTTATAAAGATTATTCAGCTGCTCTGGGGAAGGAGTGAGGTCTGTTAAAAGGCAATCACACTAGTCCAGGAAAAGAGATAATAAATACTTAACCCTTAGTTTACGAGGAAAAGTAGTTAACGCTATTTATCATCTGGGTCCAATGGACTCTTAATTTTTTTATATTATTTATTAATTTATATTTTTTTTATATAAAATAATTTACAGAAGAATAAAGTGATGGTGAAAACCAACTTTTTAGACGTTTTAATAAGAATTCAAATAGTCAAATCAAAACTTTATCCATAGTTTCCTGGCTTTGAAGATATATATCAAAAACGGGCAACATTTTAGAATTCAACTAATTGCTTGCTCATCAACTGTCATCCACGGATTTGGAACACATCCATCCTGTAAACACGGACTCCAGATTTCCAATATGTATCATTGCTTCTGGTTTATAATTACTTCCAGTTTTAATTCTTGCATGTACACTGTCAACATGTAATACTTCTGAAAACTTTGATGGCTCATGATTTTGTTGGAGAGGATGGCCATCTTCTTGGCTCCATAATTACAGAACTTCCCATTTTTATACTTATAAACACCAAACAGAATGATCGACCTAAGGAATTTTTTTAAATTTCTACATCACCTTTTTCCTTTCAGTCACTTTTGAATATACACTTGCCTTCAGCATTTCCCCCTCTTAGAAGGTGTATCAATCAAATTTTGGAGCACAAACATCATAAAAGATGTAAAGAACACTGAAGAAGATGAGGTGGTCCAGGTTTCTGTGACAAAACATTGCACAATGAAGTCCTCCTGCCTGTTGAAGGACTACCTGAATGTAAATACCATATTTCCTTTATGTCCGTAGAAGTAGATTCTTGCATTTGTGAAAATTCATCTAGCATACTGTCATCTGGTATTTCACTTATGATCAATTTCACTATCTCATTAAAGTCCAGAGAAGTAGTTCTAGACCTGGGAACTACTTGGAGTGATTTTGCTCTAGCACCCTCTCCTCCAGGACCTTTGGTAATGTCTGGAGACATTTTGGTTGTCACAACTTGGGGTGGTGGTGGTGCTACTGGTATCTATTAAGTAGAGGCCAAGGATGCTGCTAAACATCCAAAAAAGCACAAGATAGCCCCTATAAAGAGAATTATTTGGAAAAAATGTAAGTAGTACCAAGGCTCAGAAAATCTGCTCTAGAGTGCTGTTATCTATCTCCTTGCATTCATATTTTGATTTGTGTAATACTTATGAAACATCTTCTGTCAATTTTCTTCTCTCTGTCACTATGGGTGGAAATGAGAAATTCTGAATTGTCAACTGTTTCCAATGAAAGCCTAAAAAACAAAAAGACTACCAAGATGGTGTTTTCAGACTTCTTTTATATCTCTGGAAAGATGATATAATACATGGAACAATGCAATAAGGAAACTGAAGGATGAAATAGTGAAGATTTATTTCACCACTGTATAATCATTCTAGGCTATTCCATTCTTCTTCTATATTTTCTTTTTTTTTTTTTTTTTTTTTTTTTTTGCATAGCTGTAATAATAGGTAATGATGAGATAATTCCTAGAATGATGAAAGAGTAAAATATTTTAAGATACAGGAAAACTAAGATCCCATAATATACCTTAGATTTATAAAAGTTTCCAAAAGACTTTTTTCCAAGTGATAATTGAAAGAGCCAAACCTGTTGTGGTCGAGTCGATTTTGACTCACAGTGACCCTGGTAAAGACAGAGTAGAACCGCCGTACAGGGTTTTCAAGGAGCGGTTGGTAGATTCGAACCGCCAACCTTTTGGTTAGCAGCCCAGCTCTTAACCACTGTGCCAACAAGGTTCTAATTGAAAAAATAAGTTTTATTCTATTATAAAAATGAGCAAATTTTCTCCTTTTTCCTGGAAAGGAAGAAAAACTCTTCTAAGAAAGACAACATAAACGATCAATCCTTACAAAGAGTTAGAAGTACTCAAAAAAGAAACTCCTAAAGGCTAAAACCTGCAGAATGGTGGTTATGTCTTTCAATAAAGAAAATCTTTTTTTTTTAATGTCAAAAAAGTTAATTGTAGTTTTAGTATCTGATTGAATTTAGTAATGATTTTAAATTCATTTGTACTTATCAAAATCCCTTTCACATACCTATGAAAGTACATATACAGGAAAGATACTGTTATTACTCAGTTTACAAAAAGGATTGGTAAACTCCTTACCGGGAACAACAGCTGTGAACTAACAAAGTTCCTACGTGCAGTATTCCAGGCTGCCTCTGGGTGCTCCTGCACTGCTGCTGTTAATGTTACTGGGGTCAGCATATTTTAGGGCCTCTTGGCCCATACGTTCACTGCTGATCCAGCTATGATCTCCAACCAGGCCAAAGAAAAAGTGATTAAATTTTGAAACTAGGGGAAAGAGATACCAAAGAACAAAAATATCCTGTTGTCTTAGCACTGCAACCTTTGCCCGAGGGAAAAACGGAGAGTGAACAGAGCCCTGGTGGCACAGTGGTTAAGAACTTGGCTGCTAATCAAGAGGTTGGCAGTTTGAATCCACCAGCTGCTCCTTGGCAAACCTACAGGGCAGTTCTACTCTGTTCTATAGGGTCGCTATGAGTCGGAATCCACTCCATGGCAACGGGTTTGTTTTTTTGTTTTTTTTTTAACTGGTCCCTGAATCTGAAGTTATGGCCAAGATAAGACAATTAGATCAATCATTTAAACCCTATATGTACTCTTTTCTGCGAGATCTGACTATTGTGGCAAAGATGTGCTATTTCCTCTACCTCCAAGCTCAACTCTTCAGTATATGCTTGACTAACAACATATTTATACTTTGGTCTCAACTTCAAGGTTACTGTCTCAGAGAGGTATTTCCTGAACCCCAATATATATCAGCCTTTCCCCTCTGACCCTCAGTTAGTCTCTCTTGGTACACTATTGTTTTTCCTTCCTGGCATTTATTGTGATTTATAATCTTACTATGTGCTTTAACCTGTTTAATGCTGATTTTCACCACTATACTGTAAATACAATATAGGTCTATTTTATTCATAACTTTATTACTCAGTACCTATCACAGTGTTTTATACATAATTGGCATTCAATAAACATTCGTTAAATGAATGGAGGCAGGCTAGGACTCTGAGTTAACTAAGAAGAGGTAGAGCTGCAGTAAATAATATTAACAAATACAGAATTGTATTATATTGCAATGCTGTTCTAGACCCTATAGTATCAATGCTAGTGTATCTAAAATACAGGAAACCTTTCCCATACAAAGAATATGTACCCAAGTTCACTGATTATGACTAATATTTAAGAAAAGTCAGTGATTTGCCTTACCAGTCCTGCATGGGAATAGTTAAATCCTGCTTCTCGTGATACAGACCAATTGGCATGCTCTTCAATTACTGACATATCTGGAAACTTTACCACACTGCTGAACCAGTCAAACTCCAACTCTAGGCATGGAGTTTCCTAAGAGATGGAAGAAAAGTTATCATACATATTGAGCTTGATCATCATAAAAAAAGAAGAAGAAAAATATTCTAATTTATGATAAAAAAAAGTTTTGAAACAGAAACTTACTTTATTTGGATTTGATCCAGTAACACCAATAGGGTTCAGTAAATCTTCTAATCCATGAGGTACTGGCCAAAGATTCAAAGCCATTTTTCCAGATACTAGAGTATCTGTGTAATCAAACAGGTTTATATTTCCCCAGGCCAATGGACAATGTTCCTAAAAAACAAAGAAAAACATTCACTACTTGGGATTAAATTATAAAAAGCATTTCAAAACATATTACTTCCCTAGAAAAAGAATTCAACAACCAACTCTCTCTATAATAACTGGAACATGATATCTACTAAAAGCCATATTCATTTCTCAAATTTTTTTTTTCTCAAATGGAATTTTTTTCTCTTTTTCCCATTTAAAATTACATATATTTTAACTATAAATAGGAAATATGAGCCAAAGCAAGCATGAAAAATATTTGCACAGTCTCTTAACAGATTTTTGTGTGTAGTCACTTTATATGTTTAAAAAAATGTACCAATGTGAACTCATACTCTCTCATCATAAAAATAAACTCCTGAAGTTCAAGTATTCTTCTATGAGACATTTGTTTATTAAAAACTAAAAAATATATTTGATTAATAAATATTGTTTTTTAAATAAAGAAAAATAATTTCCATTTCTTGAGAAAAATTCAATCAGCAATATAATTAGGAGTTTTTAGAGGTAAATATCATTATTCCTTTACCTCTTTAGCACCCTTTCGGCCTTTAACAGAACAAATGGAAAGGCAAAGTCGAGCAGCACGAGGAAGATCAGGAATGTATATATCATAATTCAACCATTCATTCCACCTGTGTAAAATTTTAAAGAAAAAAGAATTTACCCAAAAAAAAAAGGCTTTATCTAGAGTATATAAACAACTCCTACAAATTATCAAGAAAAAGTTAAACCAAGAAAAAAACAGGCAAGATACTGACTAGAATAGGCACTTCACAAGATCATATTCAAATAAACAACAAATATGAAAAAGTAGCAATATCATTTGCATCCAGAAAATGCAAACTGAACTCTCATGGAAATATCACTAGACATGAGAATGGATAAAACTATAAAGACTGACGATACTAAAGGATGGAAAGGATGTGAAGCAACAGGAAATCTCAAACACTGCTAGTGGGGGTGTAATTGGTTACAACTAATTTGGAAAGCATGATTTACTAAAACTACCACCTCTACCCATAGGCATAAAACCACAGAAATGTGTGTACTGGTGCACAGAATGTTTATAGCAGAATTACTTATAATATCTGCAAACTGAAAATAACTCAAATGTCCAACAGTAGAATAAATAATAGAATACTGTAGAGTAATGAAAATAAACTATGGTTACTCACAACACGGATGAAATCTTATCAACATAATATTGAATGAAAGAAGCTAGATACCAAAGAATACCTGTTGCTTGAGTCTATTTATATAAAACTCAAAACCAGGCAAACGAACCAACAGTGTTAGAAGTCAGAATAGTGGTTATTCTTGGCGAGAACAGAAAGTTAATGGATTGGGAGCGGACATGAGCAGAGGCTTTTGGAGTGCTGGATGTTCTATTTCTTGACCAGCATTGTGGTTACACAGGTCCTCATTTTGTCATAATTCACTGAATGTATAATTATGGTTTCTTTTGTACATTAGTGCTATACTTCAACAAAATTAAAAAAAAAATTAGCTAATAAGAAAGGCAAATAGTAAAGGAAAACTAAATAAGATAAAATGAGATTTCCTATTATGATTAAAACTATATTTAATTACTTTTATATATGAGGTAGTTTTATTCAGAAGAACCCCATTAAGCCAGTAGGCAAATAAAATGAAAAAATAACTACTTTACAAGGGACAATATAACTTGACATTCATAAGCAAAAAATAAAAAGTTACTACAAAAGTGACATGATAAAAATTATTCAAATTTTTAGAATACATTCCTTTCAATTTATTGAAAACTACATGTGAAATTATGTCTATATTTGGTGGACATATTTGTAAAGAGAAAAATACAGTAGTTTTTTCTTAAGAACACATCAATGTATCTGATTTATCTAGCATATGGGAAAACATACATTTGGAACAAACACTTAAACTCAGTAATAATTTTTTCAATCTACTTCTATAGAAAAGCTTCGTATTTATTTATCTCTCACTTTTTATTTTTTGTAAACACAGAAAACTTTAAAAATTTACTTAAATTTACTACTGCCTTAGGGATTTCACCTTTTAGACTAAGCAAAGGATTCTTGAAAAAGATAATTCCTTTCTAAACATCTGTTTTAACTAAAATTTCAACATTTAAATCTTATATTATTAAATAAGTTTACTTTACTTTTGGTACTTGAAAAACTAGGGTAAATCTACATAATATTATATGGGGTCTTTGCTCAGGGCTTGTTGAACTCCTTGGATTAGTGAGTTTATAGTAGTCCCAAAGTTTGTAAAAATTTCCACTACTGTTTCAAGAATTGTTTTTCCATTCTCTCCTACAATCACCTTCCTCCTTCCTGACCTGTGACAGACATGCAATATGAACAAGAAATAAACTTTTGCTGTTTTAACAAAAATTAAGAAAGATTCTCGGGTTGTTTGTTGCCACAGCATAACTTCTAACCTGAATGAAGTACTACCTGGTTCATGCAGGATGAGAAACTATTTCCCTTCCTCCTGTTAAAGAAGCCTACCATCTCTTTGAACTTTACCAAGGCTCTAGAAGGGTGTACCTCTAGCAATTTCATTCTAACACCTAAACTTTTTATTGATTTTCCTAGCACTCAGTCTAAATTCATTATGAGATTTATTTCCGGAGGATTCACTAGTCAGCTCTACTGCTATTCTATGAACTTAAACTTTAATTTTCGATATCAATTTGAGTTTCCTTAAAATATCACTGCTATGGGGCAGTTCTACTCTGTCCTATAGGGTCGCTATGAGTCAGAATCGACTCAACGGCAATGGGTTTGGTTTTATTATATTTGGAAGGTTGAGTCTTATTCCTAAACGACTCTACAGAGAAAAGCAAAGAAATGGCAGGATGGCAAGTTGTTGGATTTTACTACTTTTTATTTCTTCATTATTATCTAGTTAGTAATAACGTAAAATGTTCCCAATAACTTTTTCCCTTACAAAGAAACTGATTTGTTCCCAAAGACCCTGTATTTGAATGCCATAAATATCTCTTGGGAGGGATTTGAAGGAAACTGCCTCAGTTGAGCTTGGTTTTGGAGTTGTTTGCCAACTCTCACTTCTCCATGTAAATGGAATGAACATAAGAATAAAATGCTAGGTTTATGGATCTAATGTAGTGAACAATCAACATGAAATTGCAATTATATTCTGTTTTATCCTTGATACAATGGGAAGAAGAATCAGAAAAATCTGATACAATTTTAGAAGGAATTAATAAAGTGATCCTGGGATTGATAATTCATTTGACAGAAAGCCCTTATATTTTATATGTGTCTGGTAATTTACATGGCTTAGATAAAACTAATGACTTAAAATACACTACACTTTTATTATTATACTGCTAAATACTAATATGACCTTTAGAAATACAAATCCATATATTTCCTTACCTGGGATTGGAACAAGGTACTCTTTGAGTGTTTACATTGTCACATAAGGGTTCTCCCCCATGGTAGATGCCTGTTCGAACATAGATCTAAAAAAAAAAGAAAAAAAGTATATGTATATAAATACAAAGGAGCCCTGGTGGTGGCACAGTGGTTAAGCATTCAGCTACTAACCGAAAGGTTGGCGGTTCAAACCTACCAGCTGCTCTGTGGGAGAAAGATGTGGCAGTTTGCTTCTGTAAAGATTACAACCTTGGAAACCCTATGAGGCAGTTCTATTCTGTTCTATAATGCTGTGATAAATCAATCGACTTGCAGCAACAGGTTATGTAAATACACACATACAGACATACACATACAAACATGCATGCACACACACATTTACACATAAGCACACACACAGACTACAGAAGACCAAATACTAAGCAATATCAAAATAACGTAACTGACATGAATGAGGGAACCAATTAAAAATTTTTGTTCAGATATAACTTTTTGGTTCTCCTTTTCTTCATACGTATAATGATTTAGATTCTTCACCAAAACTTGCTGCTGCCTTCATTCATTAATAACAATGGGGATATCAGACTGCTAAAAATTAATACAGGCCCACGGTCCCTCATCTAAAACCCTTTAGGCCAGATATGTCTGTTAATTCAGAATTCTTCATATTTTAGAAAGGTAAATTTTTACACATACTAAATACACATACTCCTCACTTATCCACTATCTTCTCATCCAACATTTTGCATTAAGGCAATAGTAAAAAATCTACTATTTGTTTTGCGCATTAATGAGGCGGCCAGCATAGCGGCAACAGCTGTAGAGTGTCCCTTCCCTCCAGGAGGGTCTGGGCGGCCTCCAGGAAGCTGGGCCATGCTGCCCCACCTCTCTGCCAGCTCCTGCCAGCAGGGGCGCTGGTCCAGCTGCCGCGAGGGGCAGCCTCCTCTGCGGCCACGGCCTCTGGACAGAAGCGCAGGCAGCACCGAGCCAGAGGGAGCCTGTTCCGGGTTCCTAGCTCCTATGTGGGTCTGAGGCCCTCCCCGTCAAAGTTGCTGTCGGGTGGGAAGGGAGGAAAGAAAGAGGCATCGGAGAGGGTATTTGGAAGAAATGCCTGAGACTTTAATGATATCCCGAAATGAGCCCAATCGGGCCTGAAGCCTCTGCCTCAGTGGGGCCGGGTGCATGGTCAAGCTCCCAGCACCTTCACAGGAAGCCCTGAGCGCCGGTTACTCGCCAGTCCCGGAGGGCAGAGCAGGCTCCAGGATCCTTAACGCAGGGCTGGCAGGGGTGGGGTTGAGCCCTGGAGGCCGCGACCCTGCATAGGAGGAAGGTAAGGTAGTTAAGCTGTGGCCCTCCAGTCACACAGCCCGGCTTTATCCAGCTTTGTCTCCTCCAATTCTCCTTCAGAGAGGAATAATCCATGAGTGGACTCATTACAGTGATCAGCACATCAGTAAATCTTAGCTGTTAAAATTTCTATGATGATATTTTCTAAATTAAAAAAATCAGACAACTGGATGGTCTAAAACAGAAAAAACATCCTCCATTTTTGCATAACGCCAATTTTCCCATAACGACCTGGTCTTTGGAACCTAACTATAACTGAGGAGTGGGTGTATTACTTAATACCCTTAGCAGCTGGAACAGCATCCCATAAAGACATTAATATTTCTGTAACAAAACACATGAATATTCACAATAAGTAGGATAAATAAAGACTATAAAAAGCTGCACATCGGGTCAGGTCAGATTTTGCTGCTGAATAAATTCTGTAAAATTTTTGGATAAAGAACTGTGAGCTATGTAAAATTTGAGCTATATGGAAACTCAAATGGAATTAATTCTACATTATATTTTTATTTTCCGAGGTTTGGGTGTTTTTCTAGCTATCTGAAAACAGTATACTAAAGGTCAACAGATTATTATATAGTTCAATAAAAAAAGGTTTATATAAAATAATTTTTGATGCAGTATAAGCATCAGCATTTGACCTTACCTTGTCAATATCTCGAATATTTACATTCACATAGGTTGCACAAAGAATTTTTATTCTGAGTGCACTATTGATAACCCAAAGGGATTTTGTAGATGTTTCTCCATTCATATATGGTGTAGCTGTGGAAATGCGTCTGGAATAAGATGGCATTGTAAAACAGTCCATTGGCAATTGAGAGTAGAGACTTTCTTTAGCCATCAGCATCAAATTGGGCATCCTTCCAAGCATTATACAGCTTCTTATGTACTGTAAGAGATTGGGGGGGAGGACCATTTCCTATAAGGTTTTTCATTTAAAAGCAACATGTTTAAGAGTATTATGAGAGACCTTACACACTATGGTGACAAAAACATTATAGACTACATTTCATAAGCTGCTATATTTATAACATTGAAAGTACTAACATTTGGGAATTAGGTTGTAGCATAGGATCAAGCAAGTATTTATAAATCTAAATTATACAAAGAAAAAAAATTAAGGTCAGTTTATGGAACTATAGTTCTACCCTTAACTGGAAACTAACAAAAAACTGGAATTAAAAACAAGGAGCACAGAATACACGTTATAAAAACACTGTACTCGTTAAAGGAAAAGAAACATATTTAGTAAGCGTCTGTCATTCAGTCTATTAAGTCATATTGATGTCCAGTCCAAGGATTGCTGCTTTTCTGTCCAAACATTTCCTGATTTGTTAAAAAACAAAACAACAAAAACCATAAGGAGGAGACAGATAAAACCATGGATATATTTAAAAACTATTAAAATGCATTGGTATGTATTTTGAAATGGCAGTTAAGATAGAAATTTTTGATATAAATGCTACTGTATACATACTATAATTGCCTATTTTCTTATTCATAAACCCTCACTGGAGCATTAGTAAACTGTAGGCCAGGACTACTCTAGATCAGTACCTGACACAATGCTTGATACATATACTATTGGTTCTTAGAAGTATTTATTTAATAAGTAAATATAGATAGTAGGAAAGTGTTAATACTACATCTTCAATAAAACAGATTATAGGTTTTTGAAGTGTCTATTTTAATTCCATTCCTGTGCCACTGCTCAGAAGGGGAGAAAAGTCATGAAATAACCCATATTTTGGGGATAGTGTAACTGCCAAGGAGCCCTGCAGGCACAGTGGTTAAGAGCTCGGCTGCTAACCAAAAGGCCAGCAGTTTGAATCCACCAGCTGCTCCTTGGAAACCCTACGAGGCAGTTCTACTCTGTCCCATAGGGTTGCTATGAGTCGGAATCCACTCAATGGCAATGCGTTTAGGTCTTTTTTTTTTTTTTTGGTAACTGCCAGAGTCCTGGTGATGCAGTGGTTAAGTGCGCCACTGCTAACTGAAAGGTCAGCAGTTCGAACACACCAGCTGCTCCATGGGAGAAAGATGTGGTAGACTGCTCTTGTAAAGATTACGGCCTTGGAACCCCTTCAGGGCAGTTCTTCCCAGTCCTACAGGGTTGCTATGAGTCAGAATGTACTCAACAGCAACAGGTTTGGTTTTCGTTTGGTAACTGCCAACATTTTCAGTCTCTCAAATTAAATAATTAACAATAAAAATAACTTTAAAAATGTTATTTACAAATATTATTTAAATTTCATAATGTACGTTCTAAAAATATAGATACTACTCCCCAATGTGATTAGTTTTTAAATTTAAAATTAATATTCTTGAAACTTGTTACTCACCTTATACTGACTCAGAGGATACTTTTCGAGGAAATATTCATCACATCCACAAACTTTTAAAATATACTTGCCCTGATATTCTAAAACACAGAGTTTTAGTTGCTCAGATGATAGCAACATACTTCGAGTTTTTTTCCTGATTGCTTCGGCAATCACCTGTTCTGGCACACAGTCATGGCTGATTTTCAGAGTATACTTCTGCTTATCATTATTTGGAGAAACTATTACCCAAATCACCACTATTATTTGCCCTAAAACAGAAAAATATTATTAAATGCAATCATCATATATATTTCATTTTTCAAGGGACAAATATTCCAGGGACATTATTCTAGCCATAGTCAGAAATGATTTATAATCAACATAATTAAGTCCAGGTAATTATCAGGAAATCCTCAAATTTCTCATTTTATAGCAAACACCCAAAGCTGTGGATCACATGTACCTAAAAGCAAGCTAATTTCCATTCTAAACTGCATGGCACACTTCAAGCATGCAGCCCCTGTGAAGAGTGGCTCATTAGGTTGTATCAAAAACTCAACAGGGCCTAAAGTGGAAGAGTTTCTGGTAACTATGAGAAGTAAAGAATCAACAGAGACTTAAAGAAAGATGCTGAATTAGAATGGTTGAAAGGAGAAGGAAGAAGGAGAGGAAACCGAGTTTCTAATTTTCTCTCTTTAAGATCAATTATGCCAGAGGGCAAACAAAAAGATGGTGGAAATGGATAGATCCAAACTATGCTTGAGTGGTCTCATGTTTACAATATAATTCTTTCAACTTTTCTATATGTTGAAAAATTTCCATAAAAAATGTTGGGAAAAAATGAAAAAAAAGCATTACACTTAAAAAAAACTATGCTAGAGTAGGAAGTATTTTAAAAGAAGATCTTAAGTCATATTGCATTAAACTACTTGGAATAATACAGGTGAAATAGTAATAACTTATTCTACTAACAGAATTTTATATTTAACAGTGTGTGAGTCTTAACCTATTTTATAACTTCAAATTGAAACTTTTACCTTGTTATCTTGAAAAATACAGATACTTGTCTGATACAAAGATATTTTCATTTCCAAAACGATTTATATATTTTCATGTTCACTTAGTTCTAGAAACTGTTTGCTATATTAAACCTCAAAAGTCAACCTAAACATTATGTTATGATTAGATTTAATTATTGCATTTAACATTAAGAAAGTTACTTTTTCTTCACATAATGTATAATAAACAAGAATGTGTAAAGTTATCCCAAAATTTCATGAAATGTTTCTATTTATACTTGTTTTTATTTATAAAAAGATAATCAGCTCTAAATCTGTTGGTATCCTAAAAAACTCAAATTTCTTCCATTTTATTGTAAGATAACAATTTAGCAAGTGATCGGTACCATATGCACACAATTCATTCAGTCAATAGATATTTACTGCATGCAAGCTGTGTAGCTGGTGCACAACTACATCTTGTCAGCATAACAGTCCCTGCCTTCAAGAAGTTTATCATTTCTGATTAAAAAAAAAAAAAAAAGTATGTATACAAGAATACAGGCATAGGTAGAATTATTTCATTGCAGTAACCAATTACAGTATATTGACCATTTTCTTACCTTTATCTAACTTATTATATATGTGCTTTGGCAGTTCTGGTGAAGATTCTACATTTGGAGGATAGACATACATTGCTCTACTATGAGGTGAATTAAGATCCCTAAGATCCACAGCTTCTTTACAAACATTCAGAATATTTCTTCGGAAGTCCTGTACTTCTGGATCTTTAACCATGTCGAATTCACACACTGGCATGCCAATAGCAAAACCTTAAAAAAATTATATAAACAATATAACATTATAACAAACATACAATATGAACATGTTTCTTACAAAGAGTGAACTTGCTAGATTTGGGAGACCATAACAGAATAAAGTTTCTCTGGGTTAAAAAATTTTTTGATGAATACATAGTAAGACTGACAAGGACCCAAATATGTTTAACATATAAAATATAAGGACCCAAATATGTTTAACATATAAAATATAGTCTGAAACTGTCAAAGACAGCAAATATTATCCATATCAATTATTTTTTAAAGGACAAGAAAACTGTAATATAACAAATCTAAGTCATCCCCACAAACGATACTTCTCAAAAAAAACCTTATACAATAATATGAAGGTGTTAAAAATAGTTCCTTAGCTCAGTAGTCAAAAAATTTTAGATTTATAATGATTTTTATTAAGAATACTGTTTTTTTTTAAGTTTACGGTATTACTGGTTTACCCAAAAATATTCTGGTAAAGACTGACAGTTAAGCTCCATACTTATTTGCATTTTAGAATAGGATGACAACGTCATTTAGGTGAAAATTATATCATACCAATTTCTCGATTGAGGATCTTTTCTTCACGGTTGCCTACTGGTTCGATTACTTTTAAAAAGGGTTGAAAAAGCCGAAGGTCACAAAGTCGTCTCGTTTCATCAAAAAATTCTTCCCTTTCTGCTTCTTGGGTAACACTTACGAAAATGTAAGAAGATTCATCCTGAAGAAGTTGATGGAGAGGGTATTTTCTTGCTTCTTTAAATAGTTCATGCTTTATAGTTACTAATGTAGCCTCACGGAGGCATTCTAAAGTCACTATCATTCCATTTGGTAGTAAACATTCTACTAAGATTCGTGGGGGCATCAAGTGGATGCCCCACAGTTCTCCTGATGATGGTCTTGGAGGCATTGTTCTGATCCTTTACAAGTTATTCATAGGAAACTACTTTAAGGAATTAGATGTGTGGCTGTCCCAAAGCAGAAACCTAAACCAAAGAAGGAAAATATTTATTAAATGAGAAACAACTACAAGAAAACACATTTATGGCAGTGCTAAGACAAATTCATTTTCAGCACTCTGAATTGATTAGGATAAGTAGTTATAATTCATCTTAAATATCTTAACTGAGACTGTGTCCCCAAATTAGGCTGCAAAGAATTGATTTTGAAGCAGAAATTAGAAAAACCACTTGTTTTAATTAAATGTAATAGTCATTTAATAATAATAATAAAGCCATTATATTTGAACATACTTTCTAAGTCAGGTCTCATCAAGACAGATCTGAGGTGACGTGAAGAATGAAAAGTTATAATTCAAACTAACCTTCCCATCACATATCACCTTTATCATTCTCCTTCATTCTGTGGAGCAACAGAATTTAGGCTCTAAAGGATCTTTGAGATCATGAGGTCCAATGCTCTCATTTTAAAGATGAATAAAGTAAAGCCTAGAGAAGTCAAATCCTTTTTCTTTTCCCCCCTGCATCCCAGCTCTCTGCTCTGTGGTAATGAGAAATTACATGGCTTAGTGTTTTCTTCTTTTTTAAAATCAATCTTTGTATTTTCCTTTTCCATGTTGATTTTTATCTAGGTGATATCTTAGACCATTCTGTTTTAAAGTATGATTTAGGTATATATTCACAATAATATAAAGCATCATCAATGCATTTTCCTTGAAGTATGATGATGAATTTGCAACGATCTATCCATTTTCTGAAATAATCCAGCACTAACACTTCTGATTGAAATTAACGGGTCTATACACAAATGGCACCCATGACTCTCTGTCAGCAGAATGCCCCATGTTAACCACTTGTTTACAACTATTTTAGAACCAGTGAGTACTGTTACGACTTAAAGGCCCCTTACTAAAAATGTAAGACTTCAACAATCTTGGGGCTTCTTTCAGAAGACGCTATCAAAACCCGCTGTTACGAAATGAATTGTGTCCCCTTCAAAATAAATTTTTAGGCAACCTGGGTGATGCAAGGAGCCCTGGTGGCGCAGTGGTTAAGAGTTCGGCTGGTAACCAAAAGGTCAGCAGTTCTAATCCACCAGCTGCTCCTTGGAAACCCTGTGGGGCAGTTCTACTCTGTCCTGTAGGGTTGCTACGAGTTAGAATCGATTCAATGGCAATGAGTTTGGTTTCTGGGTGATGCATAGGGTTAAGGGCTGGGCTACTAATAAAAAGGCTGGCAGCTCAAACCTACTGTCTTAGTTATCTAGTGCCGCTATAACAGAAATACCACAAGTGGATGGCTTTAACAAGCAGAAATTTATTCTCTCATAGTCTAGGAGACTAGAAGTCTGAATTCAGGGAGCCAGCCCCAGGGGGAGGCTTTCTCTCTCTGTTGGCTCTGGAGGAAGGTCCTTGTCGTCAATCTTCTCCTGGTCTAGAAGCTTCTCAGTGCAGGGAACCTGGGTCCAAAAGACACATTCGCTCCTGGCTCTTCTTGCTGAGTGGTAATAAGGTCCCTATCTCTCTGCTTGCTTCTGGCTCCTTTTGTCTCTCGTAAGATAAAAGGTGACACAGGCCAAACCCCAGGGAAACTCCCTTTATATCCATTAGGACTGTGACTGGAGTAAAGGTGTTGCATCCTACCCTAATCTTCTTTAACATTACCTAAAACTTGCCTCATTAACCACAGGCAGAGATTAGGATTTACAATACATAGGATTATATCAAATTACAAAATGGAGGACAACCACACAATAATTGGGAATAATGGCCTAGCCAAATTGATACATATTTTGGGGGACACAATTCAATCCATGACATTCCACCCTTTGGCCTCCAAAACTTCATGTCCTTCCCACACGTAAAACACATTCACTCCATCATATTATCCCAAAAGTCTTAAATCAACTTCAGTCTAAAATCTCCTGGGGCAAAATTCCTCTTCATCTGTGAAATAGAGAATACAAGTTATCTGCTTCCAAAATACAATGGTGGAACAGGCACAAGTTAAACATTTCAATAACAAAAAGGAGAAACTGGAGGGAAAGAAAGGATAACAGGCAACAAGCAAGTCAGCAGAACACATTACATTAGCTCTCAAGGCTTGAAAATAATTCTCTGTTCTCTAATACCATTTAGGCAATGGCCCTGCCCCTCCAGACTCTGGGTGTTGGCCACACTCTCCGTATTCTGGGTGAAGGCCCCTAGACCCTGGGCTTCAGCTGTGCCTTCCAGGCCCACTGGGACAGCAACTCTGCTCCCTTGGATTTGGGCGGCTCCATTCTCCTAGCCCATCTGACTGGTGACCCTACCCCCTCGGCCCTGGCAGGCCCGGTTCTTCTGCTCCATGGGCACAGCAGCCCCGCCCCCTCAGCTTTGGGCAACAGATCTGGCCCCATTCCCTGGCACTCGTAAATGACAGCCCCATACTCCAAACCAAGATGATGAAGATCTGACTCTTTGAAACCCAGGAGGCTGTGGCCCTACCTTTAAGACAGAGGCAGCTCTGCTTCCTGTGTTCCTGTCTCTTCAGTTTCTGCTTCCTGGTTTCTAGGTCTCTCCGCCCCTCGAGACGTTGGGCCGGCACCACGTCAGCCCTGCTGCGGAAAGTGTTCCAAAGCTCTTCAGCTCTACCAATAAGTGTCTGGAGGCACCCCACTCCACCAGTAAACCTCGGCCAGAAGGCACTCAGTTCTCTTGCTCTACAGATCAGCTCCCGTGCCGGTCTCCTGGTACTGCTGCCGCCACGTCTCTGTTGCTGCTTCTCGCAGTCTTTGTAGTCTTCGGTGTTACACTTCCTTCTGAGTCCTCACCAGAACTGTCTTTGATGTCCATAATTCCACCAACCGTCTCTTCAAGGCAATCTACGCTTTTACTATTGGTGCTCTGGTGGCGCAGTGGTTAAGAGTTAGATTGTTCCTTCCTTCCTCTGGCAGTCCACAGTATATTCAATATTCTTTGTCAACACCATAATTGAAAAGCATCAATTCTTCATCAGTCTTCCATATTCATTGTCCCAGCTTTTGCATACAGATGAGCTGACTGAAAAGATCATAGCTTGGGTCAGGCGCACCTTAGTCATCAAAGTGACATCTTTACTTTTCAACCTTTAAAGCAGTCTTTTGCAGCAGATTTGCCCAATGCAATGCGTCTTTTGATTTCCCTGCATGCTGGTTTACATGGGTGTTGATTGTGCATCCAAGTAAAATAACATCCTTGACAACTTCCGTCTTTCCTCCGTTTATCATGATGTTGCTTATTGGTCCAGTTGCGAAGATTTTTGTTTTCTTTATGATGAGGTGTAATCCATACTGAAGGCTGTGGTCGTTGATCTTCATCAGTAAGTGCTTCAAGTCCTCACTTTCAGCAATCAAGGTTGTGTCATCTGCATATTGTAGGTTGTTAATGATCCTCTAATCCTGGTGCCGTGTTCTTCATACAGTCCAGCTTCTTGGATTTTTTTGCTCAGCACGCAAATTGAATTAGTGAAAGGATAATCCTGACGCACACCTTTCCTGATTTTAAACCATGTGTCTTGGTCTATGTACAGGTTCTACATGAGCACAATTAAGTGTTCTGGAATTCCCATTTTTCTCAATGTTATCCACAATGTGTTATGATCCACACAGTCAAATGCCTTTGCATTCAACAGACAGATGGCTGATTCTATTCCTTAATCCAGACTAAGACAGACTAGGAAGAAGGATCTAGCGATTTATTTCTAAAACTGGCCAGTGAAAACCTTATGAATATTTGTGGAGGAGCCTCTGAGAGAGTTTAAACTGCCAACCTTTCAGTTAGTATCCAGTACTTAACCATATGTGCCACCCAGGGAGCCAGATTCAACTTAAGGGCAACTAACAATAACAACAACATAAAAACGCACAGTATAGTCACCTTATTCAATGGAGATTAGGGTAAGAAGGCTTCCCACAGGAGGTAACATATAAACTGAG